ATATATGCAAGAATAAGAGATTTAATCAAGAATGCATGAAGGAAACACTCTGTTTTAAATTTTCTGTGTATTACTTGTCTGGTGAAGAAGAGAATTACCTATGTAGAGATACTGCTTGCAGCCAATGATGCATGAAATGTTTTGTATAAGATGATGTTATGGGGTAGGACTGGATAAGTCTGACTTCTTCCTACTCCATTCAAACATGTACTAGGTATAAGCAAACTGATTCTGGATTAGTATTGGTTGGATTTGTGTAAATTATGTGTGTGTGTTGATATCATTTGTTTCTACATGTTTGAAAGAATAAATCAAATCAAATCAAATCAAATCAATTAATACAAACCTAAAAACAGGGCCAATTAAACAGGTGTTAAAAATGAAATCAATCTTGCTAAATGCAAAAACAACACATATAAAATGTCAAAAACATAAACCATATATCAAGAAACAGTAAATTACTAATTATTTTATGAATTACTCAATAAAATGAACTACAACTTTAATTATCAAGCTAAAAGTACCAATCAGCAGCTATTAGTAACAGTTGTATTTATTCTTATCTTCATTTCAAATGATCAGAAATGGAACATTGTTTTTAGGATGAAGATCACACTGCTCAGTTGTATAAACTATTATTTAATAGCCCTTTAAACACACCACAATTTATCAGAGGTACTTTAAAGAGCTAAGATAAACAGACTGAAACAAAGGAAAGAACAAGAAGAAATGAAAATTAAAAAATTAAACAGCGACACAGACCAGAGACTCCTGTAAATAACCTGAAAAGACAGGAACAAGTTAAGTCAAGGTACCCCTTGCTTCAAGCTCGGAGTCTCCTAGCTGCATCCTCATATCTAATGAACCACTGTGGGAGAGTTATCAATCACTTCCTCCAGCTGTCGTGTGTAAACATGCGTTTTCATGTCCTGAAAGCATCAATAGAGTTTAAAATAACATCCAGTTAGAGGAAGTCCTTGATTTTGGGACAAACAGGAGCCTTTAGTCAGAGGATATCAGGACTTTGTCACTGTTGTTTGAGGACAGCAGCTGCAAAATGTAATTAATGTAACTGGAACAAAGCCATGTAATGTTTTGCAGAAAAACAGCTAGTTTTTAACTCATAATCTCCTACCTTATGTTTTCATTTCTTACTTTTTGTAGCAGTATCGCTGACATTTGTTAGTAGAAACATTAAAACATGGAAGGTTTGCCAGAGGACACACAAGCTTCTAGATGTATTGTATGATCCACTATGTAAGAAGCAAACGAGTGAGAGTACAGACTCAAGATATTCTCATTGTGCTATGTCAAAAGGCTCTCTGATATTTTTGATTCTTCTTCCTCTGACTGTGTCTGGACATACGGAATTGAATTTCCAGCACCAATCATATTTTTATGGTATAGTCATCTGCCCATAGACCACCAGCTTGACTGCAAGGAAAGAAGTTTCTGCAACATATGTGGGGGCCTAAAGAAGGCACAGGTCTTGGCATAGTAAGAAAGAGGAAGACACTGTGTGAGGACAGTGAGGGAATGGATGCAGGAAACAGTCCGCACTTCCTCAGACAGGATACTGTGCTCCTCTAAGAGGTATCCTGGAATCTAATGCCTCAGAGGCCTCACGCAAACACAGTTCTTTCTCTTTGAGCCATTACTGCATTGTTAAGAGGAGAATCATAAACCATTGACTTGTGGACCACAGCAAAAGCTGAGCAGGAGTGAAGTACCACAGCCATCATGTTTGATAGGATCAGTGTGATGAACTGACTCAGATTTTGAACTCAGAGAGATGCTTTGAGTGACCACTACCAAACTCAGATAATGATGGAGACTCATTCTTTCCTGTCTGCCCTCAGACAGAGAACACCTTTAACAGCTTAACACACAGGCTACATTTAATCAGTGATGGAAAGTTTGTTTGTCATGTACTTTACATAAAAGCACTTCTGATATAACTTTCAAATGTTGCTTTTTTTTTTATTCCACCACATTTTTTCAGACAGTTGTATCAAGTTACTTTATAGATACAAAACATGACTAATGAATGAGATACAATACTATAAATTAAGTATTTAAATATTAGGCCATCCACCATGTAAAGATTAAAATTCATGTTATCTAACTTAATTAATTAATAATCACATAAGAAATTGCTTAATAGTATAAAACTCTTCAAGGGGTGTATAATGAATACTTTTACTTGAAGCTTTTCACTTAAATTGTATATCTGGTAAATAAAATGTTTGCTCTCTTAAGTAAATTTTTAAGGCAGACCTTATAATTGTATTGTTCATTTTACCGAATCTGAATTAGAAATGTAACGATTAATTAATTAATCACTTAGTCAAATGACAAATAATTAGTGAGCTTTTTTTTTTGAAAACCAATTAATTGTTAAAGCATTTTTCTTAAGCAAAATGAGACTGTCATCTATTCAGATATGAATAGTTCCTGGTTTTCTTGATCTTCTTTGATATGAGACTAAATATCTTTGGTTTTGGAAGCTGGATTGGACAAAACAATGTTGCCAGCTTTGGGAATTTTGTAGCTTCTTGATACTTTATTGACCAAAGATAATGTATGTAACTGATATGTTTAGAAAGGCATGCCACACCATAAACTGTTTATTAATAAATAACTATTACAGTGTATTAAAGTACATTTACTTAAGTACTGTACTTATTGTAAGTACAATCTTGAGCTTTCTGTACTTTATTTGAATATTTTCATTCATACTTTAACTTTGCTACATTTTAGATGCAAATATTGTACTTTTTATTCCACTACATTTATTTTATAACTTTAGTTGCCAGTTACTTTTAGTATAATTATAAGACCTCACTGATCTGTGGTGGAAAAACCACAAGCTACTCAGCAGTATTCAAATTAAATGCATATACTGCACGCTAGTTAAAACTAGCTCCCCCTTTACCAGCTGCAGCTTTAAATGCGAGGTAAACAACATATCAGTCATTATAATCCAATAATATGATATACAGGAATGTGAAATATGCCATTCTGCATAATGAGTACTTTTACTTTTAGTACTTTAAGTATGTTTGGTGCTAATATACTTTTGTACTTTGGGCTTTTACTTGTAACAGAGTATTTTACACCGTTGCTCCGTTTATCTGAGTACTTCTTCCAGCACTGATCCTGTCCGTAGAATCTAGGCTTGTTCTTTCAGATTGGCTTGACATGTAACTGCTCAACTCAGCTTCACTTGTGACATGGAAAGATTCAAATGCCGCCCCCTGCTGGACTATTGTCCTGCATTGTTTATTTGTTAGTGGCAAATTCAAAGCTCTTTTTGGGAACACTACGTATAATGTATGTCGCACAAGTGCAGGGGAAATTCTTAGGTCATTGCGATAAAAATTTGCGGTTGCCGTCATCACATTTTATCCGGAACCTTTGCGACAATTTCCCGACGGTCTCTTTTTAGTGTTGCGCAAAACAACACGTTCGAAAATGGTTTGGTTTACAGTCGATTTGAGAGTTGTTGATATTTTGTGGTCTTTCCTGGCGTCATGTTTCCTTTTAGCTTTTTGTGCACACAAAGCCTTGAGCAGATATGAAACGTGTCGTCTCTATATGTTTTTTCAGGATCTTATTCGGTACGGAAAAACTAAGCACCTCAGACGAGACGACTGGCTGCGGACGTTTGATGTCCCAAAAAGGTAGTAGACGATTTATCCAACTGTAAGCTGTAAAATAATGTATTTATTGCGAATTAATTTGATGTATATGTTTGTAACAAATGTAAGTGATTTTTATGGTTCTATTCTTTACATTTTCAAAACTTTAAATGCTCGTTTGCTAATTTAGTGGAATATACACATATTCTCTTCAGGTGGTTCTGGCACTTCTATGCTGTCTCTCTTTGCTGGAATGGTCTTCTTCTGGCCTTGTACCTGAACTTCATATTTCAGCAGCAGTCACACCCATCGTGGCTGACTGGAATATTAGACATTTTATCAGGTTTACCAAGCACAGTTAGTCACGGTAAGATGACATCCCTTTGCTGTGTTAACACTTCTGTATTCCTATTTGACTTGCACTGGTTGTTTGTAGTCCCACAGCTGTCTACTCTGCTGGTACAGCTGCTGCTCTGGGTCCACTCCCTCAGGAGGCTACTGGAGTGCCTGTTTGTCAGTGTTTTCTCTGATGGAGCCATGCATTTGGTGCAGTATGTGTTCGGCCTTGGGTACTACATTGTACTAGGGTTGACAGTTCTCTGCTCAGATCATCTGGGGAAAGGTTAGAGTGACATTAGTTCAGTCTACATTTATTACTCACAGGTTTTACTAAGTGGTATTGATGTTTGTGCTGTTCTTTTTAGGGACTGGTGCCCTCTTCTCTCAGCTGGACTGGTTTCATGTAGCTGGAGTTGCACTTTTCACTGGGGCCTCACTGCTGCAGCATCAGTCCATGGTCCTACTGGCCAGGCTTCGCACTGGAAAGTCAGGTACGCTTGTGCAGTTGTACTTATTTAGAATAAATGTGCTCACTGTGTTTACCTTTGACTACAATTTATTTACACTTTCATTACTGCTGACAGTTTCCCACGGTTACTTGATTGTCAGAGAGTTGCAATTTAAACATTCAGCAGACATGAACAGTACAACATTAGTACTGATTTGGTGGATGTGTTGGTCTCCTGATAAAATATAATGGATATTTAGCTGCTGTAGTAGCTGACTTTTATGTTTGTTTTCTGTTTTGTCACCTCTTACAGGAACAGTGGAGACACTGGCACACAGAGTGCCAAGGGGAGGCTTGTTTGAGCTGGTTTCATGCCCACATTATTTTTCTGAGCTTCTGATCTATGTCTCGCTGAGCTTGGTTTTTGGAGGCCTGTCTCTTACCTGGTGGATCGTTGTCCTTTATGTCCTTTTCAGCCAGGCACTGGCAGCACAGCTCTGCCATGATTTTTACATTAGTAAATATGAGTCATACCCAAAGCACAGAAAAGCATATATACCTTTTGTGCTGTGAACATTTGTCACTGGTGCGTGTTGGCATGCCTTCTTTTTTGTTAGCCAGAGGATCTGAGGATGTAGGGAGAAACTCTCCTCTCTCTCTCAGTTCACATGGTGCTCTAGGTCAAGTGAAGCTGTTCAGTCGCCAACAGGGAAACACTCAGTGTAGTTTACTACTGTTAAATGTATTTTCATTTAATGATGACAGCTTATCACATTGTAACTCAAACAAGTTATGTTGTTAAAATAAGCTGACTTATTTCAATGTGTCTGGTAAAAACATAAGAAATCAGAGAAAAGGCTTTGAATGAATCGTTTCTTGTTATAAAAATGTATAAATGTTCATTTTATTACAGCATACCAGTTTGTTTTGTATAACAGATATTTTATGTTAAAACAAATAAATTGTAATGGTTAGAGATGTATATTCTGACAAGTTATTTTGTTTAAAGAGGAAAATGTTCTCATTATTTGAGAAACTTGGCATGCTACTGCCTCATGCTGTAGTAAAATCAATGGCAAGTTATATTTTTTATTAAACATAAAACTGATTTACAACATTAAATAAGGTTCAGAATCAGAATCAATGTTGTAATTAAATACTCTACAGTATAAGGAAATTTTAATTGGTGTGGAGTACCTTTCATGTTTAACAACTGTCATGCTGATTTAATTAATTTGTATATATTTGGAGTCTAGGATTTGGAGAATCCACTGGATGGGGATGTAACTGACTGTCAATCTTAGGCCCAGAAATTGATTAAACAATTACTTTAATTGGATTGTCCTCGGCCACCTCCGTGCCCAAGTGAGCTCAGCGCTGGACCCGCTGCAGTTTGCATACCGTCCTGGCATCGGGGTTGCTACATCGAGCCCTATCTCACCTGGAGTCCCCCGGAAGTATTGTGAGGGTCATGTTCTTTGACTTCTCCAGTGCTTTCAACACAATCCAGCCGTCACTGCTGAGGGGGAAGCTGGAGGGGGCAGGTGTGGACCAACACCTGTCTGAATGGATCATTAACTACCTCACAGACAGACCTCAGTTCGGCTGCGGGACTGTGTGTCGGATGTGGTGGTCTGCAGCATGGGGGCGCCCCAGGGGACGGTGCTTTCCCCCTTTCTGTTCACCCTCTACA